AGACGTATCGAGCCGACCCCAACCTAGTTTGGGCAAAGGTTCGGAGGAAGAAGTGTGTTAAAGGCGGGTTCAAGTAGTATCATATTCATGACGACTACTTAATCTAAGCAGAAATATGTATCTAAGTAAAGTAGCATGATTTTGTTTTACAAGATCAAACCACTAATAACTTTCGTTATTTGACTTATTTATTGAATATGTGTTTGTTAGGCGTTAAACTGTCCTGTTACTATCACGGCAGGAAGCGGCACTCCTTGGAAAAGGGCCCCATTCGTGACCGAAGCTAATTCATAAACATTTGTTACTGGCCCAATTTGCTTTAATATTTTTGTCAGAAATAGATCCCATATCAATATTACATTCTTATTTCGCTCATTTATTTAATTTCCATAACTTATAATATAATAGCTACAAGTTTCGTTTACATTTGGTTAACATATTAAGACTTATCGACTGTTTGCTTACAACTATCATACTTAGCTAAATACTTTTTAGGCGCGCTTTTGGGTAACAAACTAAGGTCTGTGTAAAAAAATACATGTCATGAAGTCGCGTTGATCATTGCAATAAGAACAATAGAAAAAATTTAGTCCACCATTTTGTGATGGCGGCCATCTTGGAGTTACTAAAATACCGAATATAGTCAACTTTATTGTCGTTAGGACAACAGGAAGGGGGTAAAAGTATAATGACTAAAGATACAAAAAATAACAACCAGTCAGAAGTCAAGTTATCTGACCTCACTTCGCGCAAAATGCGCCAACGAACTGAGTTGGTTACAGTTATTCCGAGGATTAATCAAATTTATGAAATTTTAAATAAGGAATTTAATTACGTTAAACATTTAAAAAAAAACCTTTTATAATTATTTTTTTATCATGTTTTTTTTATTCTTCTACCTGTACATAATAATTGTCAAAAAATTATAAAATCATGTGAACTTAGTATGTTACCCTATCGCACGTACCCTGTTCAACTATAATCACTTTAAATCTACAATTTACAACAATTGGAATGCAGTGAACAACATATTTACACACATTTTACAATACAATAATATATCTATCACAATAATTTACCATTTGAGCACAAAAATACAATTTAGCTATATATATTAAGTACCATATTTATACATGTTTGATTGAACCTTGACTATGAGTAACCCGGAGCCTCATAAAAATACTTAAATTACTAACTTCTGACGTTACTGTCGTCTTACTCTGGAACGAAGAGACGACATTAAGATCGTATTTTAACTATGACAAATTGTCTATAACTCTCATATGGAATAACGATAAAATATTTAAATAAAGCGGAAGCAGTTTGACACAGGTGCGTAAATTGCCTATCAGGTGGGTATAAAAAAGATTATTAGTAAATTTTCACTAACCAGTAATTTATCATTTTCATATAAATTGTGATATTTTTGTATATTTTTTTAGAGTAGGACAACGCTGGTGACGCATACGTACCTACCCATGTATGAATAAAAAACGTTTTGTGTAAATATAAAATATTATAAGACACAATAATTAGTGAAGAAAATTTAATCTGTATAATAATATAGTACATTGAGAAGAAAAACAATAAAAACGAATATAACTTTGAAAAGCTGATGATTATTAAATTAATTTTTCTAGGTATGTAGTTCATACAGCGCCATATATAATATAAAAAAAAATATTTCAAAATATTAGGTTCAGTAGTGTTTTATAAAATTCCACAAGTAATAGATATCGACGATAGACTATGTAGCTATTGAAAAAACTATTGTATGTCGGTTATCGTGGTAAAAGTAGTCTGTTCTTCCCCACAACTCAGATTATCTCCATACCAAATTTCATCTAAATCGGTTTAGCAGTTATTGATTCCCATGCAAACTTCCAACCCCCTTTTCACCCCCTTGAAAGATGATTTCTGAGGTAAAAACTATCCTATGTCCTTTCCCGGGACTCAAACTATCTCTGTACCAAATTCCATCTAAATCGGTCCAGCGGTTTAAGCGTGAAGAGTAATAAACAGACAGACACACTTTCGCATTTGTAATATTAGTATGGATTGGAAACTGTGATAATGATTTGTCATAGTTAATGTCCGATCTTTAATAAATATTATAATGCTATTTTTCAACCGTTATTCTAGCGCTAGGATTTATGCTTTGAACTTAAAGATTACCCTTATTATTTCGTTTTTGCATTGGTTGATGTACTTTTTTTTAATGGGGCTAATCCCTCCCACATGCCAACTACTGTAACTCCTATACACCAGGATCAACAGCAGTTACCCACGAACACACCGAGTTATGACACTCGGGAAGTCTCAGGAAAAAATTAAAATGTATTGGAACCCGAAAGGAAATTAAACAGAAGAAAATTGGAGGTATTAAAAAAATATAATATCTAAATAAACCCACCATTGGAGTTGGAAGTATAAACCAATTTTATGGTTGATGTACTGTATGGCTACCTCTATGGCTTCGATTTACAAAGATAGAGACGAATGAGAAAAATAAACTAGATCACGTCAACTCCCCTTGAACTATTTTAGACATGAAGCCTTTGCCATGAGTTTGTTTGCCCTTTCTTCTCATAAGGCCCAACCCCTTGGAAAGGGGCGGTTGTAGATCGGCACAGGCATATCATAGATTTTGTATGGGTTTGATTTTTGTTAAATTTATTTGCTTACTATTTGACAAAACAGAGATTGTTACTTTTGTGTGTGTTGATCTACTCGTATGACTTTAGAGTCTACATTAAAGACGAAAAATTATGAAATAAAGAGAGTTTGATTTTGAGTTTATTGCATTGTCATAAGATATTATTTTGCCAAGTCCAATCAAATTTTCTTCTTTTTAAGGCTCTACTTGAACAGATACACAAGCTAATATAACAACAGCTCTACTAACGTAACACTAATTCTATACATTAAACAATAAATTATTTTTAATTCACTTATATCGAAAATATACACCTTTTATATTATTTTCATATACATATAATAATATCTCGTCTTTACAATCACGAATTTAAAAAATTGGCACTAATTTAATACTTTCTCTTTTCATTTAATTATATTTTTGTTAAATTCAACAATAAATAATAAATTACAGTCAGTTGAAAGCAAATACATCATAATTATTTATAAGTTTATATTTTAATTATTTTGTATTTACATTTATGGAAATATTAAACCAATTTGATGGGCGTGATAATAAACTGTGATAGAAAATAAAATGTTTCTTTTTATTTATTTAGAACTGTAGAAAACTCGGTTGTGATTTGGTTAGTGATGGTTATGGTTTGGTGGTGGTTTTTGTAAAAGGAATAGGTTATTACAGAAACTTATATTTTTTTAATAGTAAACACAGAGATCATCAGGTCCATAGAATAGCTAAAAATCTATTGAATTTCTTCAGTACTAAATTAGAATTTGATTTATATAGTTCTATTTAAAAAAAAAAGAGTGTTTCTAGTTCGGTCTAGGCCGGAAGGGGGCCCGTAGTCAAGAGTGAAGTGACCTGTCGCGTTGATAGTAGTTGCGAGTGTTTCTTATAGAGACATTCTGCGTAATTTTGAGTGTTGTAAGCTTAAATTCTATGATACATAAATATATGTTTTACACGGTTTAATATAACGCCCACTCATTAATATTCCAGTACAAAAAATATTATGACTTGTCTTCGAGATCATGTATATTAATATCCAGTTCATAGTAATTCCAACGCTAATATCCAAACTATCAATACATCTATCAATCACATTGACAATTGGTACAAACTTTATCAATCACTATCTAATACATAATCTCCAATCGGTCAATCACTATCCACTATATAATTTTCAACCGGTTAATCACTGTCTTTATATCACATTGAGGATTAATACCACTTATCACTGTCCTGCAATGTCTGTCAATCGATTATCGTTTGACAGCTGGCCCCTCAATCGATTGTCAATATGAATCATGCACGTCAGTGCTCCTCGTCGTTTGCTTTGGGAAGTTCATTATATTCTGTAGATCAAGAAAATAGTATTAATTATATTTAATATAAATAATTATGAACAACTTGAGACACCTAACACATGGCCGTCTGATCTCAAACTAGATACAACATTCAGCCTGTAATAAAGTTACCAGACTGAAATTGAAGATTTTTAAGACCAGCATTTGTAGCTGCGTAACTAGGCAGTGCCTGTGCTAAGGTAAACAGACTGCTGATAAACATAGTTATATATTTTTAAATACATACACATATAAAGAAAAACAAACACCCAGACACAGAACACATGATCACGCACATCGCACAATTATTTGTCTTAGAAGTGAATCGAACCCACGACCGAGTCACGATCACTAATGCCCCGTCATTTGAGAACTTAAAACTAAGGATTCGTTCGTGTAAAGATTTTCCGTTGAAGGCTATATACAGGGGCGGCGAGCCTGGCAACCCCGCCCGGGGTAGGGGCCTCGCGTACTCGCGCAAAACCTCAACTAGAAAAATCATCATCATCATCAACAACAGCCTTTAATAGTCCACTGCTGGATATAGGCCCCTCCTTAGAAAGGAGGTTATGGCCTACTATACCACGATGGCCAGACGGGTTGGTATAGGGTTTGTTTTAAGTTTTCCTTCTCTTTACAGTGCTGTTTTTCTGTGTAGTTAGTTCCCACAGTCGGCTCTTACGACATCCACGGGATAAATAGTAGTGGTGACACTCCGTATTCTTAACTTGTCACCACACGGAAGTAGGAAAATGTTTATTTTAATTTCGGTCCTTACGCCACTAGCTACTCGTGCTCGATTTACGTTCAGGGATTCTCCGTATTTCATTCGGTCAGTCATTTTGACAGCCTTCAAGTGTTAACTGTCGTCGGCCTCTGCTTATATTTTCGAGCAGCAGTATGTTTTGCGTTGCAATTTTGTTCCAAATATCATCATTAACATTAATTCCACCGGCTACGTACCTGTGCGCTCGCTAGTGCGTGAGCGTGGTGAGGTGTCACGGCACGTGCGCGGGCTGCAGGCGGCACGTGTCGCACGCCGCCATCCGCGCGCTGTACCGCTCCACCTGGAACGTCGCCGACTGCACGCCGTACTCGCTCCTGGCCAGCTGCTGGCACGCGTGCAGAACCACCTCGGGGTCCGTCAGCTCATCTACGACGAGGTCAACGGTCTAAAATTGTTGGCTAAGAAACTTCATCCACATTTTTTGGCTCTTCATTATACATACCGATAGCAATATGGGCAGTCATCACAATGTGATGTGTTGAGAGAGCCCACGCGTGGACAGAGTGGACGTGTCGGACACCATTTAGCGATGACAGCGCCAAGACACACTCTCGATACCTGAACAAAGATAAATAACATTATTCTAATTGCTCATAAAAAAAAACTGCATTTTGCCGCCAATTTTGCTCTTGTAAAAATAGTCTTTTATCCCTCGAGAAAAGTACTTATTCGGGATGTAATGTATCTTACCCCTTTCTGTACTCCCAACAACATGATCAAAAAGTCATGAAGATAGAGGAAGATTCAGGAATAGAATAAGTACTGACGGTACCTTTCATTTAGGAAAGATACTGTTCCCGATAGATTGAATAACACAGTCTAGATTAAAACGGCGTGCAAAATATATACATATAACTAGAAGACCTGACAATGGTCAAATACCTAATTGTTTTCGTATTCGCCAAATATCTTTACTTGAAATGTGTACCACAAATACATCAGATATATCGGATTATGAGTGTTGCTAGGACGTTTTAACTTAAACTTACACACACACATCACATCAACAGCCTTTAACAGTCCACTGCTGGACATAGGCCTCTCCTTAGAAAGGAGGTTTTGGCCTACTATACCACGCTGGCCAGAAGGGTTGGTATAAGGTTTGTGTCAAGTTTTCCTTCTGTCTGCAGTACTGTTGTCTTGCGTAGTTTGCTCCCTTAGTCGCCTCTTACGACACCCACGGGATGAATAGGGGTGGTGACACTCTGTATTCTTAATCCGCCACCACACGGAAACTTAAACTATATGAATATAATTGCATTTGTATTCTAATATTTAGAAAACACTATTTGACACCAAAAATATCAGTAGTAAATCGTCATACAGCATGCGTTGGCTGAGACTTCTATATCCTTAACTTACTGACGTCGCTCAAAAGGAATAATTTTTGCCGTATTTGCAACATTCTTCATTGATGCTCGGCTCCTATTGGTGGTAGCGTGATGTTATATAGCTTTCCTCGATAAACGGGTTATGCAATACTAAAGGATTTTTTGAATTCGAACCAGTAGTGCCTGAGATTAACATGTTCAACCAAACAAACACTTCAGATATATATAATAGTAGTATAGAAATATAGATTTAATGATGACAAAGTTGAGATATTAAACATCTGTCACACATGCCAAAACGGAACACAGATTCATTACAACTATGAAGTTTTATATATTGTTTGTGTATATTATATGTATGTACGCAACTCAGCAATTATGTGTATTTTAGTATGTATTTATATATATCTGTCCCACTGTTTATGTCCATCTCCGCAATTAATTAAAATTATGATATTTTTAAAACAAAACTTAATTTCTAGTGCACCTACTCAGACATTTCCCCACCACCAAAAGGTTGACTGGGAGAAAACGCCTGTGGCATTAAGTCCGCCATTGTAGAAGTGAGTTGTAATTTGTGCATAAAAAATAAATAAACACTATTTAATGTAATAAAAAGCGTCGTCAGAGTACGTTATATTAAGTAGTGTCAGTTACCTGAAGTGCTTGGGCACAGCTTGCATGAGCATCCCGACGGCGTCCCTGACGACCCTGGCTGACGTCAACAGCACCAGGAAACTGAACACGAACGTGCAGATAGGATCCACTATCTTAGCTTCCGGCTAGAACAATAATAATCTTGTATTACTTTATACTTAAAGAGTGACCAAGAATTTATTTAGAAATAATATTTGATGTACATATATTTAATTTCTCGGGATCAGATCTTGGTTTCACAATTTTTTAATTAAAGTATTTTTCAATTAAATATCCTTTTTAGGACCCCACGTTTAAGCAAACATTTTAATTTTCCTTTAACTTTATTTACCATTATTTTACGAGGAAGGTCTTAGAACCGGTTCAATATCTACCATAAAATTTCCCAACAATAATTGAAAATTTGTATGAGAAAGGTGTAAAACATATCAAATCACTTTTTGGAGTGTTGGTAAAGATTTGGTGACGATTCTACAGTGTCCTTAGGCCGTTACCATCCCCACCATGGTCCAAGGTCAATTCGAGTATCATCAGCCTATCGCAGATCTTCCATAGGCCATTCCAATTTCACAACACTTAGATTGATCCTTCGGTTTTTCGCATCCAGCTCCTGCCAGCCATCTTGCGCAAAGCGTCACTCAATTCAAGTAAGTATATATAACGCGAATGGGGTTCCAGCTTGTTTACTTACATAGAACTTAATGAGTATAGAGGCCAGTAGCACACCGCAGCTTTGTATGAGATCCCCTATCACGTGGATTAAAGCTGCTCGAAGGTTTATGTTCCTGAAACAATACAACACAGATGGGTAAACGTTACGATCTGATAACTACGCTGGACGTCAATTTAAATTAGTTTCTTTTTATTCAATAAATAGAATAGTATCTATGTTCCGTGGAATACTAGTGTGATGAAAAACTTGTGACGTCATATATTGCTATTGTCAAATCATTGAGAATCTAATGTTTGTTTAACAATTAAAAATAATAACGAATCTCAAAATCTTCGTGAATACCAGTTTGTGGCGAGTTTATGTTAGCGTTATAAATTCAGTCCTATTTACAATTTTTGAATCAAATATTGCGAATTTTAACTTTTTTAATTGATTGACGGATTGAAACGTTAACGAGACCTTCCATTCAACAAAAATTTAAATACAAATAAACAAAAATTTGTGTGATTTGCAAATAGTTGTCCCCAGTGTAGGTGTTATGTATCCGGCTTTTAAATATTTGCGACACAGGAATTATCCATAGATACCAGTATCCGTAGAACCAGGACCTAGAAAAGAAATACTAAGTATCCCCTTACCTCGTTTGACTGCCCACCACGCTCGCCTCGACACTGGATAAATCTTTCATGGTATAGTCTCCGTTGACGAGCGACCCGTTGAGGTGTTTGTTTTCACGGCTTTTGAACAGTCGCCAGCCGCGGGATGGGGCGTTGTGTGAGTGGGCGTGGGCACACGCCGCGCCACCGTGTGTGTGGTGGTGAGCTGCGACAAAAACTCTTTATGAATATCTTATATATAATTTCTTATAAATATCTTATATAATTATAAACTCAAACTCTCTTTATTTCATAAAATTTTCAAAATTGTTTGAAATCGTCTTTTATGTAGACTCTAAAGTCATAGATCAAGACGCACAAAAGCAACAATCTCTGTTTTGTCAAATAGTAAGCAAACAAATTTAACAAAAATCAAATATATAAACGAAAGTTTATGAGAATGATTTGATAGATAGATAGATGGATTGACGAAATTTTCATGGATTTATGGAGAGATGAATGGATAGATTAATATTTGTTACTTTTTCACGCAAAAACAGATTGTGATGAATTTTTTACACAGGTTAGGATCTTAATTAAATATAGAATACTGTTATATAATAGTTAAAACTGCCTCGCTGGCGCAGTGGAAGCGTATGCGACTGCTGTGCTGTGGTCTCGGGTTCGATGCCCGGGTCGGACCAAATGTTTTTATGATCTGCAAACCTTTGTTTCGGAGTTTGGGTGTTTTCTATATATTTTCGGACATCTTACACAAAACGCGATCTAGTTTCAAACTAAGCAGAGCTTGTACTATGAAAGATCATCTGGTCCGACCCGGGAATCAAACTCGAAACATATATATAATACGTATATAATTACAAAAAAAAGAAAACAAGTATTCCATCTATCTAGCTTTGTGAGATGTCCGCAAAAGGTCCGAAAATATTAGTTCATATTTTAAACGTAAATACGAGTTTTTTGTTGTATTTTACTACTGCTGTCGTTAAGTACAAAATCAATAATCATCATCGGGTACAGGACAGAACACATGTCTTATTACTATATGACTATGACCAGTACGTTTTATCTTGTAGTAAATGAAAAATTATCCGTGTGGTGACGGATTAAGAATACGAAGTGTCACCACCTCTATTCATCCCGTGGGTGTCGTAAGAACCGACTAAGGGAGCAAACTACAAAGGCCAACAGCACTGCAAAGAGAAGGTAAACTTGACACAAGCCCTATACCAACAAATGATTAGTACTGCCGTAGGAGTGCCGACAGAAGTGAAAACTTGAAAATTTTAAAATGTTTGATTATAACACGATTTTTTTTTTTGTTGTTTTCGATTCGAAAAGTTCCAACAAGAATGTATATCTATGTTGTACGTATATACACGATATATTATATATAGTTATATTATAAATGTATTTTAACCCAAACTCAACTCTCTTGTGAACGGGGCCAATATATGTAGATACTTATATACAGAGGTGTCGGTAACGGTAACAGTCATCTCAAAAAATAGATTTTTTTGTTTGATGTTCAAAAATGCAAAACGCGCGTAAATAAGTTTTCACTTAAAAATATTTCAAAAACTTTTCATCGATAAACACAATTCTGTACCTTTTCAAACACTACATTCTGTACATATACAGAGCCTAAGCGATTACATTTATAAAAAGGGCTTAAGTACATACAATTAATAAAATAAATTTTCTACATCGAGAATGGCGGCGAGATGTTTTCACAAATTGAACGAAAGTTTTGAGCGAATCCACTAAACGCTTATCCGTCAGAGATTAACTTTAATAGAATCCAATTTCAAGTTGTAAGTTTTCTAATTGGTTTTGTCTTAAAGTTATTTAGAACTAATCATATTTTAACTTTTAATTTGTTTTAGACTACCAACAAGTGACGACTGAGCTTGGATTAAGTAAGGATTGGCGCCTACTAAGTACTGGGTAGTAAAATTACGGCATTAAGTCGTGCTTAAGCTCTGTCATAGTTTTATTGCACTGCACGTACTTCATGGCAAAGTCGACAACGCGTTGTCAGTAAGCAGTAGGCTATTGCGTTAGTGCGGCACCGCGCTATTAAATTTCTTATAGCGCGACTTAGCTTTAATGCAAAGCTTAAAAGGTTTTATAAGGCCTAAATTACATATAGGCCGTTTCGGCCGGAGTTATGCCACGGCCTTACAGAAAACCGGTGTTCAGCAATTATTTTATTACTTATATCAGAGAATCCCATAGTGCGACCACTTTGGATTCTCATATTAAGTAATACCCCATGGTGTCGAAATCGGTTATCCAGGGGTCGACATAAACGAATCGAACACTGATTTTGGGGTTCGACGAGATCTAAAAATCGACAATTAACACAAGTTTCTATTTTAAACTTTCAGGATATATTGTATTAGTTGTTACGTATACCAACTTGTTATAAGACTGACTAATATGTTTAAATTTTGATGAGAAAATGATGTCAAGTTTACTCACTTAACCAACGACAAAGTTTGAAATTGGTTAGTATTTTGTATCAATAGGAAAAACTAGAGATAGGATTCTTAAAGTATTTATGCTATGGTATTAGTGCATTTTGGTAAAGGGGTCACTTGCCCAAAATAGTTTGGGAATGCCTGGCTTACATGCTAAAAGGGCAACGTACTTGGGTCTCCTAAGTTGTGGGTGTCCAAGGACAGCGGTAGTCACTCACCATCAGGGTGACTCGTCTATTCTTTTGCCCCAAATCATAAAAAATACTTGTTCTCCAATACTTTATTCACATTGAAGTTATCATGCCAATGTTGTCAACGAAACAACTGAACCACACCACTGGGGTGTCGTTTACAGTATATTTTGAAATTAAATGAAATGATATTTATTTCTGTAAGTAAATCTTTTCAGATATTTTTACAAGTCGGACTTTATAGCTAGAAGGAGCCGGCATTTCCTAAGACTCACTCTGGGAAGAAACGCCGAAACAAACCACAGAGGTGTCTTGGTAATGACACCACCGTAATGAAGTTCTAACACAAAACTTATGAATGTCAATTATTTTTCATTCGTAAGATCACGACCATTTTAAAAAGGTTTTTTCAGAGGTTACCAGAAGTTGCTTTAAATATAGCAGATAAAGTGAAACAAAGATACGGTGAAAAAAAAATTGCTATCGTATAATATCGTTTCAAGTTTTATAAATTAATTTAGTTGTTTTTTGTTGTAATGGATATTATGTTTTACGAATTCTTGTGAACTCAATCAATTTCAACATTATCATTAAATATTACCCTATAACGACTTGTTTTATTTCACGTTATATATCACTAGTCAGCAGTGGTGTCATTACCAAAAAAGAGGGAAACGACACCCCAGTGGTGTAGTTTACCACTTTGTTAGGTATTTTTCTATCCCTAGGAAACATTGGTTTTGGGAACAGTACTGTTCAGTATTTCAGATAAAGTGTATCTATATTATTATTATTATTTATGTCAGAGGGGGCAGACGAGCTGACGGGTCACCTGATGGAATATGAATTTCTTAATTATTGATTTGTAGAGCAGTTAAGGCTTCAGCGTAACGAACAAAAATGTTTTCGTTAACAATATTATAAACGTTCACAAAGACCACCTAAATAAATATTATTTTGTTAGTGTCTAGTCGGCCTATGAACGAGGTATAATAATAAAATTGTGTTGCCTCAAAAATATCCAGTCAAAAGCCAAAAGTACTTTTGTTGGTTGTTATTCTTTCATAGAAAAATATGTAGACTATTTAGTTTTCAAAGGAACCTTACGAATGACATAGAAGTGGGCTGTCGAGTAGCCTCATGAGTGCTACTTAAGGAGGCAAAGAGGTTTACCCACTCATTCTTTCCACATGTCCAAACAACCTCAATATACCCTTATAAATTTTTGGCAGAACGTCCTTCTTCAAGCCACACTGGTTTTAAATATATTCATATTATATATTCCATTTCAGTCCACGTATTTTGGGCCGCACATCCTTTGCAGTCGCCCATCTTAACATATTTCATTCGACTTATCATTTTCCTGGTATACCCAACTTTCTATGGATGTGTGGTGTGACTGGGATGGACATGGTGAGGACTGAATACATGAGACGAAGCCTGAAGTAGCGGCAATGGATGAAGAGTTGAGGAGCAAAATGTTATCCTGATCCATACCACGATACCCTTGTGCATGTGATGCGTAGAGATGACCAAAATGTAGTGAAGAAAGTTTTATGTTGGACTGTATACAAGATGATATGGCTAGAAAGGAAGTAAGCAGTAAACTGACGAGTGAAGAAGAAACTCATTGCGCCAAGGAGCAGGTAAAAAATCGGTTGTCTGTAAAGTCGGTTTACTGACGATAGTTGAACGTGACAACGTCATAAGAAAATACTAATGGAATGGTTGCATTTTTCAAAAAGAAAATTTTAATTTTATTTGTTATACAGATGTCGAACGCTGCCGAACGCGGAGGCCGATTGTGCCTCTTTGTCGCTCGTTCCGCGCTCTCGCTTGCACTTCATGCCTTAAATGGAACGCCTCAGAGCGAGGTAACGCGGCATGAGTCATGTTTTTTCGTGCGTGCAGCCGGCTCCATCGAATTATAAGACGATGTCACATCAAAAGATGACGACCCAACTCTCGGCATACCACCAAACTTTTAAGGTGCATGGGGGTTTAAAACAAGATCCTTACCAATATCAGAAGCACAGCCATGGAGGACCATCGCCAGTATAACATTGAAGGCGACGCCACACCCAGACACGATCATCATCATATCAGGTTCTATGTTGTATTCGCCCGAGTGCAGTCTACATATCGCCACATATATGAAGATCCCCGTCAGAATCCAGATCAGGAGTACCGAGAGCATCGCGCCCAGGACCTCTGTCAAGAAAAAAATGTATTATTAAAAATAAATATAAAAAAGTGTTTCATTTCTTTTTCTGGATTTTCTAAAACATGACTTCACTTAAAACGAAAGGAGTTCAAATGTTGTCGCTTTCATCATCATGATCATTAGCCTATCGCAGTCCACTGCTGGACATAGGCCTCTCCCATTGCACGCCACTTATATCGATTTTCGGCTTCTTGCATCCAGCTCCTGTTAGCCATCTTTCGCAGATCGTTACTCCACCTGGCCTGTGGGCGTCCTACACTACGTTTGCCTTGTCGATTTAGTACTTCTTAATTCCTAAAATTCCTAAAAAAGAGGCGGCTACGTACTCATGACTCTTGAGTTGCAGATATCCATGATCGGTAGTCGCTTACCATCAGGTAGCTTTCTTCCGTCGACACAATTAATACTTATAAAGTAATTGGTGGTCTTAAAAAAGCAATTTCGCTACGCACCTCGCCATGGAATAAATGGCGTGTTACTTTCTCCACAGGAAACAAATTACACACAAGGTATCGGATATTAACGATTGCAATGTAGTGTAAACATCTAACATCGTATCGATGTCAAACTATACCAATTAACCCTTTTTTTAGTTACATTTATCAACTTCAACGATTTTTTTAATATGTGAAGAAAATTCTCTGTGCCTCTTTTACAAATATGGTATACCGTAGCATTTATTATGTAAAATTCTTAATATCAAATTTTACTGTCAATTGAATAATAATTTTATCAGATCCTTTTGACAACATGGCGTTTAAGACCTGAGGGCTGAGTACAAGTTGACTCGCTCTAGACGGCGAGCGCGTTTAGCGTCGCGATTGGAGGAGATTTTAGTGCGGGCCAATCGTAGCACCGAAAGCGGTCATCGCGGCACTTTGCCTGCTGAATATATTTTACTTGAAGTCTTTAAAATCAGACAACTTAAAAAGTCCGTAAATCAGGCACTCGACTCTGATAGCAACAATACAATACAAACGAAAATGGTATGCCATCGTTAAGTTCTGTATCGTCTTGAGCAACTCACCAGCTCGCTTGTATCCATAAGACATAGAGACGTCAGGGTTCCGTTTAGCACAGTGGAAGGCTAGGAGCGCCAATGCGAAGCCACCGCAGTCACTCAGCATGTGTGCCGCGTCACTCATCACCGACAAACTGCCGGCCAAGTAGCCCCCGATGAGCTCGCACACCTGGACAAAGTGTTCGTGTGACACATAATTAATATTATATATGCAAATTGACAGAAGTCTATAGTCCATCAACGTCGTGCGCGACCATCCTGCGGGGTGACAGACGGTGGCGGGGACGAGGTACTCAAGATGTCAGCGGGTAGCGGGTGGTGTAGCGGGGAAGGGAAACGCGTGTAGCCGTGTGCTGGAATGACGCGCTGCCTCGCCCCCGCCACTGTCTGTCACCCCGCGGGACGGTCGCGCACAAGATTGCCGGGTTATAGTACTAACAGTCTCTAAGGCTTAGAGACTGTTAGTACTATAACCGGCGGCTTAGCTTAGACTCTAAGCTAAGCCGCCGGTTATAGTACGCGGACGGACCGACGGAAGGATATGGCGGAACTTTAAAGGGGCCTTAGTTCTACGAGGGAACCCAAAAACATAAATATATACTCGCACTAGAGTCTGATTATATTATCAATCAAAATTATTAACTATTAGTACAAATTCTCGGCATAATTTATATAAAACATGCACGCAGCAGTAAAGAGCGAGACCTTTTGTTTCCTTTTAATCGAATGAAATTCATAATTGTTCAATATAATTTATCCCATTACTATTAAAAGTACCATCAAAAATACAGTAAAAGTAAAAAGTAAAAATAAGTGGCGTGGAATGGGAGAGGCCATGGGAAATGAATGGGAATGGGATGTCCAGCAGTGGACTACAATAGGCTGATGATGATGATGAAGTATAATATGTTTTTATTTGACTGCACGAATGGCGTATTGGTTTAAGCGGTCACGGTTTAAGGGGCAGTTTGTGGGTTCGATCCCCACATGGAACAACACTTTGTGTGATCCACAAATTGTTGTTCTGAGTCTGAGTGTTCTTTGTGTCCGTTTCATGAATGTTTGTAAAGTCCCTCGCGATACATGATATATTCCTAGTGCGCGAGTTGTATTATAGACAAATCAGTACAATATCAGTAGGTACCCATTGTCTATTACCTACAGTACAAGCTCTGCTTAGTTTGGGACTTTTAGTTTGCTTAGATGGCATTGTGTGAATGTGATAGAATATTATTTAAACTAAGTTCCTTATTGCGGGTAACACGCGCGAGCGAGACCGAAAAATGTGTAACAAGACTTTTTTTCCGACACTTCTTGTTATAGTTACGAACTTCATTCCGACCAGGGTTCCATTGACCCCTTACGCCGTTTTATTATTGTCATTGTAATAAGCTAAGTAAGCTTCAAGTACTTAAATTTTAATAATCGGTTTACTATCCAATATCAGGCCAGATAGTCAAATTTAGGCCGCATATGTTGGATACCGAATCGTTGCCCAATATCCGTTTCACCGTTGACTTTGTATTAACAATGCACTGTAAATCTATCATCACTATATCAAACATATTTATTTATATACCTATCTTTATATGTATTAGTATTTCACATACCATAAATACGCCACATAGTACCAATGCGGTGAGTAACTGTGGTATCGCGCTGGGCGGCTCCGCTTGAGGCTTCCAGTGGCAGTGCTCGGAGTCTGTGGCCGTCATTGGAACATCTGTGTATGTTTCCTGTAACAATCAATAGATTATATATCTTTACTGCACGGATGGCGTAGTGGTTTAAGCGGTCGCCACGCCACTTCCTATTGCGCCGAGTGTTGTGGGTTCAAACCCCACATGGGACGACACTTTGTGTGATCCACAAATTGTTGTTCTGAGTCTGGGTGTTCTTAGTGTCAGTTTTCATGTATGTTTGTAAAGTCCCCCGCGTCACAGGATAAAAGAAAGATACTAATAATATGGAGGTAAAGTTTGTGAGTTTGTATGTTCAGTGTAATCTCCGGTACTACTGATCGGATTTTGATTTCTTTTTCACTGTTAGAAAGGTTTATTATCCCCGAGTTTTATAGTCTACTGTTTACTGCGATAACCGACATATAAGCGGGAGGAGACGCGGGCTAAATCTAATCCTATTCTAGAACTCTTTAGTTAATAAGACTATTTTATTTTTTATCCCTCTAATTATCAATATACTTCATTAATAGACGTTATAATACAAAATTATTTAAAAACGCACGGACCCACATAATTTTTACACGCTCGATTAAGCGACAGACCCTAAAATCCCTCACCTGAGCTTACAACGTTTTAAGACCACTTTATATAAATAACAAAGAGGTCGTTTAGGGGTGATTATCCTTTTGAAAAGGCTCGCTGTGGTCACTCAGAAGATTACGTGACCTCAATGCAGAGACGCAGGTGAAAAAAGGTTTCAAATAATCTCTCAATCGTTTGAAACAAATTCTCTGAAAGCATTAACGGCGATATGAATTAACCCACAAAGATGGAGAATACAAAAAATGCTGTACATTACGTAAACTATGCTGCAGCCTTAGAGGTTTTTTTAACGCCTACAATTTGAAATCCCTCATCGCTCGGTTTAATAGCCTTCATGAGAGCTTGTGCATATTTATTAACTCTATACCTCACATTGTGAAAGACCTGATAACTTTTAGCACTTGCTCTACATATTTTTAACTAGCTGACCCGCGCAACTTCGTCTGCGTCTCTCAATAGTAATAAATTTTCTCCGTTTTTGAAACATTCTTCATTGGTGTTCCGCTCCTATTGGTCTTAGCGTGATGATTTATAGCCTATAGCCTTCCTCGATAAATGGGCTATCTAACACTGAAAGAATTTTTCAAATCGGACCTGTAGTTCCTGAGATTAGCGCGTTCAAACAAACAAACAAACAAACTCTTCAGCTTTATAATATTAGTATAGATTATATAGGCTTTCTATTATATTTGAATCACTTAAAGTTTATGTGTAGAAAAAGTGCAAAAGTTAATTATTTTAATCATAATTTGCTATGATGTAAAAAATTATATAAAAACTGCCATCTCGTTCATACAAACATTTGGTCCGACTCGGGGGAATCGAAACCGAGACCTCAGAACAGCAGTCGCATACGCCACTACTGCACTACCGAGGCAGTCAAGATAATAAGTAAAGACCACAATTACAATAGGTTGTTTGTTGTTTATCTTATCTTATTTGGATTTACTGTAATCAATAAAAAAACCCTAAAACAGTTGTTTTAACCTTCGAGAGAACTTCATTGATATAAACATAGATATAAATATTTCATTAATGTGGGGAACCTTGGACTATTAATCATTTACGAGTTATATACATCATAAACGGAACAAAATCAGATTAAACATATAAATAATCAGTTTTAGTTGAACTAATCTACGTTATGCGACTCTCAAATAAGACTGATGGTAAGCATTTTGATGAAGCAAAAGCATTTTGCCATTGAGTCTTGAGCGCTTTTCGTCAACAGAAATACAAAATAAGTTTTAACAAACCTCTGGCCTGAAAATTGTAGACCCCAATCCAGAGATCAAACTGACAAATAGATTTAGGGATAAAACATGCGTAAAACAATTACTAGTTAGGGCTTTGCCTAATTTGAGATGAGACGGCCGTTTATGAGACATTTAAGCTATTCTTTTTCTATTTTAGTTCATATACAGCTAGGCGGTGAGGTATAAAATGCTGCTAACAAGAAGACGCAAACAAGAAGAACGTAGAACAATGGTCGGATACAGTGTTAGTGATTTTTATCAGAAAAATAATGTTTTAAGGGTATAAATACTTTGCCCTTTGCATGTGTATATAAAATATCAGTTATTTCCTCTTATCTATACTAATATTATAAAGCTGAAGAGTTTGTTTGTTTGTTTGTTTGTTTGAACGCGCTAATCTCAGGAACTACTGGTCCGATTTGAAAAATTCTTTCAGTGTTAGATAGCCCATTTATCGAGGAAGGCTATAGGCTATATATCATCACGCTAAGAGCAATAGGAGCGGAGCACCAATGAAGAATGTTTCAAAAACGGAGAAAATTTATTACTATTGAGAGACGCAGACGAAGTTGCGCGGGTCAGCTAGTAAAGTATAATTATGTTATAACAGAAACAACTTCAATACAGAATCAAACTTACATTACAATTACATGACATTAAAGCAAATCAATAAATTGAAATAATGTATTTTTTATCGCTTAATTTTTCACTATAGTAAAGATGTAATGTGTTTTTTGTAAACTAATGTGTGTAAACCATGGGTGCCAATTTATTTAACAAGAGAATTATTGAAATAAGTTTCCAAATGGCAAAAGATATGGCGTCACATACAAACGAAAAATAATTACTAGACGAATTGATAACCTCCTTCACTTTGAATTCGGGTCAAAAAGATTTCAAAAGAAGTTCGATTGTTCTTCTACGCTAGGTGACCTGAGCAACTTCGTTTTCATCGCTCAAAAGGTATATTTTTCCTCGTTTTCGCAAAATTTTTCATTAACCATATCAACCGCCTTTAAAAGTCCACTGCTGGACATAGGCCTCTCCTTAGAGAGGAGATTTTGTCCTACTACACCACGCTAGCCAGACGGGTTTGTCTCAAGTTTCCTTCTCTTTGCAGTGTTGTTGTTGCGCAGTTTGCTCCCTTAGTCGGCTCTTACGACACCCACGGGATGAACAGAGGTGGTGACGGAAGAATTTCCATTAATGCTCCACTTTTATTAGTCGAAGCGTGATGTTGTATGGCCTGTAGCCTTTCTCGAGAAATAGGTTATGTAACACTAAAAGACTAAAATTAAATATATATGTATGTGTATGATTGTATATGTATGTATTTATGATGTGTTGTGTTGTATATGAGTATGTATAAGTTGGTGTATGTAGCGAACCGTTACATATATTGCATTAATAACTTAATATACTATGACGTAACCTCTGTGCACCTACCTTACAAGATTTCTACACCACCCAAATATTGACTGGAAAAGAATGCCCTAGGCATTAAGTCCGCCGATGTACAAAAGTGCATAAAGTTAAATAAATATATATAAATATTCGAACTACTAGTTCCTGAAATAAGCGCGTTTAACAAAACAAGAAAACGAACAATCTCTTTAGTATTTTAATATTATCGTAGCAGTATACATATCAATAGAAGATGAGATTGACAAGATTATAGGAATATTCTAGCCATTTAACGTTGTCTCAGCACGGTAACTACATATTTTCTACTAAGTGCAGGGGAGTTCTTACAACTAAGCAAAACGAGCCACGGTTATATTTCGGTTCTTAATTACCTATACGTAATAAAAACAAACTTACAATAGGTAGATTTGGTTTAGATTTCAACGTATATAGCAGTAATATGTATATTTGTACTATGTACTACGAACTTCGGTTACGCGTCAAAGTAACCATATAGATTTAAAAACCAATAAACCACCGTTAAAACTAAACAAAAAGGTCATAATTGATTTGATAAGGTATATCACTTACATTTAATTCTCGCATTTTGATACTCCATTGAACTACAATTCACAACTAATAAAAAGAACGGTGAATAATATGACATAATTTTTTTTCAATGTTTTTAATCAAAATGTGGGTAGAATGTAAAGCAGGCCATTGACGTTCCATTTTGTGTGTCAAGTTGCGACAGATGAAGGCCGATTTTTTATTGTCATAAACAAAAACAATAGGCTTTTTGTTTTTTGTTCTATGTACAAATAGTCTTATTAGTTGTGATGTGTCAATTAATATTGAAGTATGTAGTAAGTAGAGGCGTATTAAAACGATCACATTTTGCGATTATTTTATCATTTTAGGGTTACTTACGTAATACGAACCATACGAACATCTGGGGAAATTGTTACTGGTAGTTGGAGCCTTAAAAAGACCGACAACAGGCTATATACAGAACTACTATATCACCTAGTACTTGGGTTGTGGAGGTCTGATAGCAGTTACTCCAAGTGGAAAATCGAAGTTCAGCTGAATCGTAGTAGACTTAAAGCCGACCCCAACCTAGTTTGGGAAAAGGATCGGAGGATGAGTCGCACTTACGTAATAGCGGGCAAGGCTATTGCCGTCAAAAGGGGATTTTAGCAATGAAATGGGCATATTGGCAGTTTAATGATAGAAAAGGTATGTGGCGACCTCCACATACGACGAAACGAAGAAACATACTACAGCGCCATCTATCGAAGACACAACGAACTACGGAGAAACTGCTAATCCTGTATCACGATATGAGTAATTCGCACACCGATTAGCATATCCCAATATCAACCGTTGGGCCGCAGCCCCCCTAGGCATGATCAAATCGCCTGCTCGGAGGATCCTCTCTTTGTGCTGGAGGGACACGACACCCGTTCCTCCACAGATATATATAAGTGACAGAAGCTCTTCTACATCCTCTTTATTAAACTAGTGAACTTCACGCACACAAAGCCACGCACGCGCACACACACACACACACACACACACACACACACACACACACACACACACACACACATATACACATACCCACGCAAGCACACGAACATATATATACACACTCATATATTCTAGACTAGTAAAGTATCATAGTTTATATATAATCTAACTGTAACAACATTAATTGTAAATATAAATTAATTATTAGTAATTGTAAATCAACAACAACAAAAATAGCGTATCCTTTGAAACTGGAAG